GTCCGTGACTGACTGGCACTCCTTGTCTCCCTCCTTCCCTGCCCATACTTGTGTCTGTTCCCTGGTTGGTGGTCCCTGTTGCTTCATGGTCTCAGCCCTTGCTTATCCTGCCCTTGCCAGGTGGTTTCTGATTTGTAGATATGTCTTAGGGGATCTCCTGACTTTTCTGTCCCACTGCCATGGAGTGATGGAGTCCAACTACATTGCAGAAGAGTGGCTTCTTTGCTTGCTTATATGCTAGCTTGAGGAGCCCAGAATGACCAGTTAGCAACTGATCCTTGTCGTGTCTCCTGTCAGAAGAAACATTTTACCTCAGGCCCTCAAAACTCAGAGCTAGACTAGCCAGTGGCATGGTGGTTAAGGTGGCTGGATTCCCTCCCCACGCCCCACCCAGGGATAGTCACACCATAATCCCTTGTTTTTCTTTCAGGATTTTGGGTATGCACACAGATGGGCCCAGTGTGTCTTTCAAGCTGCTGGGTCTGGAACTTGAAACGTGTAGTTGGCCATGTGGGATCTGGCTGCCTTAACCTCCATGCCACCTGCTCTGACCTTAATGATAATGTTTTTGATTTAGTACTTTGGCCAGACGTAGGAGAGAGTGGGGTAATTTTTCAGGGCCTTCCAGCTGACCTTTTCTACTTCAGTAACTCTTGTTCACAGGTCAAAGAACCAACATAAGACCGGCCAGCAGGTGGCGTGGTGGTTAAAAGTGCCGGATTCCCACATGGCCGACCATGATTCAAATCCGGACCTGATGGCTTGCTTTCTCACTTTCCCTTTCTCTCTCTCTCTGGTCAAATGAAAAAATAATAACAAAATGGAATTAAATAAATAAATCCTTTAAAAAAAAAAAAAAAAAAAAAAACCAGTGTGAGGACTCTGTCAGTTGCTAAACTAAGTATGTCTATTCCTGTTCCTGGTCTTTTTTCATCAGGAAGTGAACAGATGCCTTCTCTTGAGTCTTGATCCAATGGACGCAGTTTGAGGTTGATGTGGCTTGGACTCTGACTCCCAGGGTTCCCTGTTCCACAGAGGGCCTTGCTGGCAGGTTGGGGCTCTGAGCATCAGCAGCAAATGTTCAAAGAGTCCCCTATTTCTTCTTCTTTTTTTTTAATCTTTATTTGTTTATTTATTTAAACTTGACCAGAGAGGGACAGAGAGATAGAGACAGAGTGAGAGAGAACATGAGAAACCAAACTACCAGGTCCGGGACTCGAACTGCTGTCAGCCATGTGAGAATCCAGTGCCCTTAACCACCATGCCACTGCTGGCCCTGAGATTGCCCTATTTCAAATGTTCAGAGATCCCCACTCCTGAAGGCATTTTTCCTGGGTGATGGAGTCCCTTTGGGTGCATCCTTACTCCCAGGCAGGCTTGGCCTGTCGTTCAGTTTGTGCTTCTGGGTCTGAGAGCTGCTTCAAGTCCAGAAGCTGAGTCAGGGATTGACCCCTCTGATTGCAGAAGCTCATCCCTCTGTATGTGTGAGGTCTTCAGAAAAATTCATGGAAACTGGGTATTGTGAAAAAACGTGTGGCTTTCAAACTTTTTTACACCAAAATGAACTCAGACTTTAATTCCATCCTTCCATCAATGTTTTGAAGTCCCCTTGTCTGTGAAGCAGTACCCTCTTGACTGCCTGTGTGCCTTGCCCCTTGAAAATTCAGCATTCTGTGAGCCATCTGCATGGGTCCTTGTGACTGTCGTGGTTACCTTGCTGCTTAAGAGCACCAGCCATCCCCAGCCAGGTGCCTCAGAGCTGCCCTCTGACTTCTGCTGTCCTGGGGTCCTGGCACCCCCTTGTTCCTATGGAGCCCAGTTCTGTACAGGCACATCTGACCATGAGCTTTCCTGCCAGGGGCTGAGGTTCTTGGGTGCTGGTGCCCGTTCTAGCACATTCCTCAGTGCCATGGTAGGGGGAGTGGTTCAGTTCCTCCCAAAGCACATGGGCCACAGGTAGATTTTCCTGTCGTTTTGTAGATCCGCTCCAGCCTGGCCACTTCCCTGAGCCTTTGGATATCTTCATGCCATTTGCCAGAGCAGCTCTGTGACCTCTGCTTGGTTGAATGTGTGCTGTCATTTTTGTAGAGCACCTGAGAGCCAAGCCAGCAGCCCATGAGAGTGGGCTGTGGGCCTTTATTTGGTGTGATTTGCATCAATGAGTGTGTCCTGTTCGAGAGTGACCCTCCTTCACCTGAATATCCAGCCCCTAGACCCAGTCTTGCTGCACATGTGCAGGCTAGCTCCTGCAACACATGTGGGTTCCAGAGAGGGTCCTGTAGCCACTGGGGAGGGCAGAGCAGATCTGCAAGAGTGAGTACTGTCTAAAAGATGCCTGTTCGTGAGAGGCTTGTGTGTTACCTTCAAGCAGGGGTTACTGGGGGAGGAGTTCTACCAATAAGAAGAGTGGGCCCCTTCTGCAGACCCTAAGTGTTCAGAAGAATTTGGGGATTGAGGTTTTCAGGCATCTACCCCTAAATTCCCATCCCAACTTTCAGGGTCCTGTCCTTCTCTCTGGTTCCAGACTTGGCCTCAGCTGTGGCAAACATCTCAATTAAGGCCTGTCAGATGGAAGTTACTGGGAGGCTGATGTGGTCTCTAGGGAGTTCTAGGGACCAGCAGTTGGCGTAATGGCTGTGTCACTGGACTCCCATGTAGTCGACCGCTGTTCAAGTCCCAGACCCAGTGGCTTAACTCACGCTCAGCACATGTGCGTGTGTGCCCAAGATCCCAAGAGGAGAATAGAGGAGAAGGGATTGCAGTGTGGCCATCGCCACTAGGGGATGATTTCTTGCTTTCTGTCTTTCTCTGTCTTTCTGGCGAACACACGCGCCCTATAGCAAGACCCTCTCCAAAAAAAAAAAAAAAAAAGGAGTTCTTTTGGTATGGTGATAAAGGGGCTG